CATGATGAGTAAGACCTTCAGCTTGTCTCCACGGTGAGTGAGGCCCTCAACTGTATCCATGATAAGTGACTTGCTGTCTCCTACCTCCCACCCTTTTAGTGTCCTTTGTTGCCTTTTTAAATGCAACATGGGCTTTGGAATTGCCAGAGGGAGCTGAGCTTAAGGCCAGAGGAATCCTCACCCTACTTTTGATGGGGCTCTAAGTCACTGCCCTGCACCCCATATATACAAACAAAGAACATGAATGTATTAAGTTCCACACAGTTTTACAATCTGGCTCTTAAATTTTTCTATTAAAAACTTGCCAAGCATGATCTTTAAATTTTGTGCATTCCTTGCTCCATGTCTTGAGGGAAAATGTTAGTTGGCAAGTGCTACATATATATCCTGTATCCTATTTCAATAATGCTTCAAAAATCATTGTTTATAAGTTGGCTTTATCTATTATGTGAAATAACTATTCAGTTCTAACGCCGCTTAAGACGTAGGGTCTTGTGGACATTAAGTTCTTACTAATGCTCTATAGAGATTTATAACTAGTAGAGAGCAATAATGACATGAGTATGCCTGTGGAGTCTTCCATAAAGCTGGATAGCTCACTTTACCTCAGTTACCGTCAGAATGGCTTTTTACTTCTTCATCTCCTTCTGCCATATCCATGAAAGGAGCACATTTTAGCCATACTTAACACAGTCTCTCTCATCTCTCTTTCCTTTTCCTTTCCAGTGTCAACAAGCTGGCTTAGGACAGCAGGAGGAGACAGAGTCAGGGGCCAGATCATTGCTTATCCCACATAAGCCTGGGGTTTAGAAACTTTGTGTGTGGGACGGCTTGGCGGGGAGAAATCAGGAGGAGGGGGGCTAGGTAGAAGTTTATAATAGTAGTCTAGGAAGGAAGTGAGACCACAGCTAAGACAGTGAGGGTGAGGAGAAGAAGGAATGGATTTAAGAGACCTTTAGGACAGAGAATCTACACTGACATTGATTAGATATGGGACACTTTCTCAAGGTGTGATTTTTTTCATCAAAATCATATAGGTATTCTTAAAAAGCTAGAGTTCTGGGCCCTACCCAGACTCAGTGAATCACCTTTCTTGGAGTAGGCCAAAGAACCTGCCCTTTTAACAAGTTACTGTGTGATCTGGAAGCATGCTGAAATTTAATAGTACGGGAAAGGGGGGTGTAAAGAATGGTGCTTGGTTTTCGTCTTGGATGAATGGCTGCACAGTGATGCCCAGCTGAGATACGGAATATAGGAGAGAGAGGATAGTTCACGTTTTTACATGTCATTTTGTGTCACTGTTTCTTCTCTCCACTTTATCTGTCTCACTTTGTCTCTGTTGAGATCACCAGCTGTGTGGATAGATGACTTTCAAAGCCCTCTGCCCCTGTTATCATTACAAGGGCTTGTAGATACCCTTGGCAAATCTCTTGGTATATATTTATTATGATCATTTTTAGGACCTCCTGAGCATTTCTGTTCATTCTTACATGTTCCCTCTCTTCCACTTTCACCTGTTCTGTGGCTTTTGCACTGCTGCTGCTACACTCTTCACCCCTAGCCATTTTTCTCCTCCTTCCCTGATCTTCAGGTCTTCACTCTTGCTACTCTGTGAATGCATTTTGCTGCTGTTTGTGTCATTGTTGAATGTGGGTGAGCACTTCAGGAAAACGTATCTTTAGGTGGTAAAAAAAAAATAAAATAACGTCAGCCTGTCATCCCTGTCACCATAAAACGTGTCCCTATCCAGAGCTTACAGATTTTTTAATGTCTTTATTTTCCAAGACTGTTGTGATTTTAGTCTTTTAAGCTTTTCAGTGACAGGCATTGACGTGTATCTCCCCAGTGGTCCCCTTGGGCCATGTGTACTGGCGTTTTCAACTCTGCCCTGAGTCTGGTGGCAGTAAGTTAAAGAGCAGCTCTGAGCTGGCCTTTCTACCTGCAAGGATCCTGGACTGATTCCTCTCTTTTCTTCCTCCTTTTCCTCCAACACTACCCAGACTTAGGATCAGTTTAACTTCTCCTATAACACCTTCTCTAGCTCCTCATCCCTGTCAAGTCCCATAGTTATTATTTTTCTTGGGACTCACTGGTTTGCAGTAGTACCAGAGTTACTTCCCTGGTTCTCTGATCAGAAGTGTGTCTTCAAGATGCAGCCCCAAAGAAACTTCTTTGTAGAACCCTCCTGGACTCCAGCCTGTACCCCTGCCCTGGCCAATGTGATTCAGACACACCAAGGAACCCAAGCAAAACTCTTACAAGATGTTTGGCCTCCACTGTAATTCTTGGTTTATTTGTTTGCCTCTCCCACTGGCACATAAGCTTACTGAGGGTAGCACCATCATCATGTTTAATTTTGTGTCCTGAGAGCCAAATATGGTGTACAGGCCACCAAGTCACTCATAAGTCATACTGAATGAACGAATGGTCTTATTTTGACTGAGAGGTTAAGCTTACAAAGAGTGGAAGTCCTGGATCTGTATACAACTTTGAATCCAATGAGTTCCTTGTACACTGTGGATGCTCACTTTGACTCTGAAGACCTGCCTGTTTTAGCCTGTAATCGCATTGGTATTATACCTTTGGCCCACTTGGAGGCTGGGAGGAGGTATGTCAGGATTTGACATCTCCATGCCTAGTTTACCAGAGGTTCTTGGATTACCCGCTCTTTGAAGTGCTCCTCCTGCACCTGGTAGTTTCTCCTCCCTAATCCCTTGAATTTTGGCATCCATCATCTCAACATGTATGTAATATTCATGGGTGCTCCTTCTCAGGTAACTTCAATAGAATTTTGTTTTTATTCACTTTAAAGCCACCTGCTTCAGTCTTTAAAATGAATGATAGCGATGTTAGGTGGTGGGAGGTGATACTTCATTGGAACTAAGAGCAAGGACTATGGAGCCAGAATGCCTGTGTTCTAACCCCATTTATGAGCTGTGTGACCTGGAACATGTTACTTGCCTTCTCCATGACTCAGTTTCTTCATCCGTAAATTGGTGATAAATATAATACCTGCCTCATAATGTTTGGAGGATTAAGTGAGTTAATGAAACAGTGATTGGCATAAGATATTAGCTCTTATGGTTATCTTTATTACTTTTCTTATATTTTGTGTTCATATAAATTGATGCAACAAAGGCGATTTTTCATTTACAAATAAATGTATGCTCTTTTTGTGTGTGTGAGGAAGATTGACGCTGAGCTAACGTCTGTGCCAATCTTCCTCCATTTTATGTGGAATGCTGCCACAGCATGGCTTGAAGAGGAGTGCAACGTCTGCACCCAGGATCTGAACCTGTGAATCCTGGGCCGCCGAAGCACAGCACACGAACCACCAGGCCGGCCCCATGCACCTATTTGTTTTATGTAAATTTATTGTGTACTCACTCTGTCCTAGGCATTTTGCTAGGTATTGGGGATATGAAAATTCGAGGACAAGTTATACTACTTGGCTGGAGTTGTTGATACATGGAACATATGAACTAATAGACAATGCCAACAATAAATGCTGTGATTGGGAAAGCACAGTGTGTAATGGGAAGACAGAGGGGTAGGGTACTTTGCCCAACATTGGAGCATCAGAGAGGGCTATCCCTATTGAGGCCTGAAGGACAAATAGGAATCAGCCAAGCGAAGGGGAAAGAGTGTGTTTGTTCCGAGCAGAAGTAACTGATGTTCAGAGGCTGTGACGTAAGAAAGCAGAGTGCTTTTGAGGAACTGAAAATTTAGCGTAGGGAGGAGACTAGCAAGCGTTGAGGCTTTGAGTAGAGATCCCAGTGCTGCAAGGCCTTGTCCACCATGTGAAGGAGCTTGGACTTTTATCACAAGCATTGGGAGGCTGTTGAAGGGTTTTAACAGGGCGGTGACATGATCAGATTTGTGTGTGTGTGGCTTTTTAACTTTTGCATTGTAAAATAAAAGTAGAACACTATATGAAGAAATGTGTAGCCTAGTAGAGTATTTTAAAGCAAATGCCCTGGTAACCACAGCACAGATCAAGAAATAGAACTTTGCCAGCCACCACCCTGAGTAGCCCCTCCGCAGGCCCTGTCCCAATCACAGCTCCCTCTGTCCCCACAAAGAATACCCTGGCTTCCACAGTCATCACATTCTTGTGTTTCTTTATAGTTCATTCAGGTGTGCGTCCCAGGCACAAGTTTAGTTTTGCTCATTTTTTAAAATATCTTTTAAGTCTTTTTTATCTGTGGTTTCCCCTCCATCTCTGTATTTTCGTTACAATTTATCTATGGAAGAAACTGGGCCCTTTGACCTGTGCAGCTTGCCACAGTCTGGATGTTGCTGATTGCGTGTTCAAGGTACAGCCCTGTGAGTTCCTCCATCCTTAGTGTTTCCTGCAGACTGACAGCTGGATGCCAAGGCTTTATCCAATTCTGTTTTGATCACTTTGACACAAGCGTAGGTGGTGGCTATTCTCTCATCAGGAGACATAAAATGGCTGCTGGTTTCTCCATGTGACAGATTTGTGTTTTTGGAAGAATCTCTGACCACATGTGGAGAGTAGACTGTGAAGGTCAAACCAGGAAGACCAGTTAGACCTTTTGTGTTTATCCAGATGAGAGCCTGGAATAGGGGCTCTGAGAGTGGAAAGAAATGATAGGTTCCAAAAAGGTTTAAGAATTAGCATGTATTAAGACTTGACCATTGTATTTGAAGAAAAGAGGACAAAGAAATTTCATTATGGGATGCTGAGAGGGTGGTGGGAACTTTCAGTGAGACTGTTAACACTTGAAACTGTTAGAAACGCTAATAAAGGTTTTGGTTTGGGATATACCTAGTTTGAAGTGCCTGTGGACCCAAGAGGAGATGTCACGTTCACATCTCAAGCATTATTTATAGCTACTTCCTATTTGGCAGTAGTGTGTTGTGACTTTAAAAAAAAAATGTTATCTCCACAAGAAAAATGTTTAGCCAATATAAAATATGCGTTCAAGTACAACATGCACAGTTTCTGTTGATGATAGAAAATTGTAGAAGGAGAGTTCAAGGAAGGTCAGCTTTAATTAAAGTAGGCCTACTACAATAAATAAATGAATAACAACCAGAAGAATGAAAAGTTAAGATGCTGGTAGAGCATTACAGCCAATGGGTGTCCTCAAATCACTTTCTGGAGTTGAAGCCAAAAATGAAACATTGCACAGGTGGCATTCCCGGAGAAAAGCATCAACTTGAGTGAATTTTTCTGTTTCTTCTGAAATGAAAAAAAAGGAAAAGGAAAAAGATTCTGGATGAAACAGGGATAGCGATTTGGGCTTGTAACAATGTAGTGAGCAATTTTAGTTCATTTCTGTGATTTGTGTACAGTAAATTCACTATTACAAGAAAAAATCTGAGGAAAGGAAGAGATAAGAATAAATCCACATGTATTGCTACAACTTTATATTAACTTAGTATCATCCTGCCCTAAACTTCTGGCCATAATTTTGAAAAATGACATGGAATTTACTATTTTGCTTTCTTTGGAGAGGCTGCTGTCATGGGAAAGATTTTGAAGTATTCCTGAATCCAGTTTGAATCTGTTGCTCTCTGCTTTTCAGCTGTGGCTTGTCACTTGGTCCAAGAAGAGGGAAAGAATGTGGTCACATTCAGCCTTTGGGGTGGGGTCAACTTCTATTTTCAATGTGACAGATAACTCTAGATCTGAAACTTGGGAGTGCTTAAAGCCCACGGCATGTTGAAGATAGCTAACAAGTTTGGCTCATGATTTAGTTTATTCACTAGTTCTGTTTTGTGGCAACATATGAGATAGCACATCCTCCAAATTTTTGGTGATTCACAAAGAATAATCGTAAAATGACTTTTTCCATTTTCCTGCCAAATTACTTTTTAAAAAGTACTCTATGAAACTGTGACCCCAGGACATGAAGTAAGATAAACATTACCGGTACAGGGTGCCGTTCATAGGCATTATTTCATTATCTCTCTTGAATGTAATTGGCCTCAAAGCCAAACAAAATGGTTTTGAGGGGGCATGAGAGATGTTTTCTTGTTTTTCTGCACAGTGGTAAATTACTTTTCGCCCCTGACTTGACTGCCTGGGCCCATTTGATGTCCCACATCTGCCTCCGTCATACCGTACCTTCTGCCCTCTACTTTGAACATTCTGAACTTCTCTGGTGTGCTGGGTTCCTTCCTGATGACCTCACAGTGGGAGTTTCCCTCAGTGCTGGCTCCAGACCCTGTGTGGGAAAGTGCTCTGGGCAGCCCGGGTCTCAACCCTGTTCCATGCACTGAAGCAGGCCCTGGACCTGGCTCCTCTCTGCCTGCAGGAGGTATCCGATGGGCTGCTTGTTTGGTGTCACATTTACCCTCTAAAACAGTGGTTTTCAACTCTCTTTGACTGTGACCCACAGTAAGAAACAAAGTGTACATCACAACCCTATATACCCACAACTTTAACGCTACATGTGTAAATATATAAGTAAAAGTTGCACGAATCAGCCCTTGTATTTAAGTCGTGCTTTGCACTCTATTATTTTCTATTCTAGTTCATTCCATTAAATTCCACTAAAAATATGCTGGTTGTAACCTGCTCTGTTCATTTCACAATCTATTAATACTTGTGATTTATAATTTGAGAACTCTGCCTAACATTGTGATAAACACGTGATTCCCTTTCAGCGAATCCCTTCTTAATATGCCCCTTCTTGAACATCACCAGTTACGGGACTGCTTCTCTTTGAGGTGGCCTCTTTATTCCATAATTCTAATGTTTAGAGTACTTGGTCCTAAAATATATTAGGACGCATCTTTTTTTCATTAGGAAACAGTGCAAGTCTGTGATTAACGATTGCATTTCAGGTTTCCAGGGCTGAGTGGAATGAATTCTTCAGCACATTATTTCCTATTGGTCCCCAGGACAAAATCAGCCACAGTTCATTCACTGCTTTAAACAGGCAATATCAGCAAAACCTTTAAAAGGCGGGCTGGCCCAATGGCACAGCAGTTAAGTTTGCACGTTCCGCTTCCTGGCGGCCCAGGGTTTGCCGGTTTGGATCCTGGGTGTGGACACCGCACTGCTTGGCAAAAAGCCATGCTGTGGTAGGCATCCCACTTATAAAAAATAGAGGAAGATGGGCATGGATGTTAGCTCAGGGCCAGGCTTCCTCAGCAAAAAGAGGAAGATTGGCAGTAGTTAGCTCAGGGCTAATCTTTCTCAAAAAAAAAAAAAAAAAGGCATATTGTAGAAGAGAAAAATTTTGATAAAGCATTAAAAAGTGGGAATCTTGGGTAAATATAAACCTGACTGAGGAGACCATAAGAGAAAGTAAAATATTGTTTCATGTATCCTAGCCTCATTTTGGTTTCCATATTTTTCTACCATTAGGGCAGCAAGATTTAGCAATTTGAGTACAATTTTTGCCATTGTTAAAGTGTCTTTCACTTTTTAAACTTTTTATCACAGATAATTCTTTGCCCTTTTGCATGTTGTATTGTCAGAATATTAAGAGATTGCCCTTTAAAATAAATGGGAGTAGGGGCTGGCCCAGTGGTGTAGCGGTTAAGTTTGCACATTCCGCTTTGGCAGCCTTGAGTTCGCCAGTGCAGATCCCCGGTGTGGATCTACACACTGCTTATCAAGCCATGCTGAGGCAGGAGTCCCACATATTAAGTAGAGGAAGATGGGCACGGATGTTAGCTCAGGGCCAGTCTTCCTCAGCAAAAAGAGGAGGATTGGCAGCAGATGTTAGCTCAGGGTTAATCTTCCTCAAAAATAAATAAAATAAATGGGAGTAACTGCATGTTCAGGCAGTGGCAGGAAGAGGGAGGGTACAAGATGGCAACGATGGCAGGTCAGATTCTTTAAGGTCAGAGTATTCATTCCTAGGGCAGCCATAACAAAGCACCACAGACTGGGTGGCTTAAAACACACAGAAATTGATTTTCTCACAGTTCTGGAGGCTGAAAGTCTGAAATCAAGGTGTCAGCAGGGTTGGTTCCTTCTGGAGACTCTGAGGGAGAAGCTGCCCCATACCACTCTCCTAGCTTTGAGTGGCTGTAGGCACACCTTGGCATTCCTTGGCTTGTAGATGCAGCCTTCATTCTCGCACATACCATCCACTACCAACATGTGTATGCTTCTTATCCCTCCATCCTTCCAAAGTAGACATGCCGTAATTTTCATTAGATGAATGTTGTGTTTGCCTGTTTTAACAAGGCAAAAGCTATTGACAGCTGGACCATATCATAAACTATGATCACTTTTCAATTTGTATACAACTTTCACTTTCTTTAGGATTAATAACAGCTTTCTTGTTTTATTTGCTTAGTCTCCTATATATTTGTCAGTAATTACCAACCAGACTCTCACTCAGTTATGTAAGTCTTCACTCAACCCATTCACAGAAGTTCTTAATAAGACGTTATTCTTAACAATTCATCTTCTTGAGGAAGTCACCGCCAGAGCCTTGTGACGTGCTGTGATCTAGATCTGCGGTACAGCTGCTGACTGGTTCTCCTTCTCTGTCTTGTATTGGATCCCCTGTGCTACAAGTCTCATGTTGTTTTCTTTTTTGGTCTATATCCTAATTTGGGTGGAGAAATTCTCCACTGGTTTCCAGAGAAAGTGTTCTTGAGAGGTAAATTTTGAAAACTTGGATGTCTCTGTGCGTTTATTCTGCCCTTGTGCTTAAATGGTAGCTTGGCTGGGTATGGAATTCTAGTCTGGGAATCATCTCTCTGAGTGTTGGAGGCATTGCTCCGTTGTCTTCCGGATTCTTGTGCTGTTGAGACGTCTGATCCCACTCTAATTCTTGATGCTCTGAATGACATCTGATTTTTCTCTCAGAAGCTTTCAGAGTCTTTTCTGTGCCACCAGTGTTAGGAAATTCTGGGCTGACATGTCTTGGTTTGGGACGGTCTGTTTTCATTCATGTCTTATCTTACTCACTCGATGGACTCTTTCAGTCTGGAAACTCGTGCCCTGTAGTTCTCTGAAATTTTCTTGATATATTTGATTTCTTCCCCTTTTTTGTTTTTCTTTTGGTTCTCGTCTTGTTCAGATTTTCAATCTCTTGGGCCAGTCCTCTAATTTTCTTTTCCTTTCTCTCCTATTTTCTATTTCATTGTCTCATTCCTCTCCTTTCTTGAGATTTCTTCAGTTTTCCTTCAGCCCTTCCATTGAGCTTGTCTTCTTGCTATTTTGTTTTTCATTTTCAAGACATCCTTTTTGTTTTGAAATTTTTTTCTAACTGCAAGATTTAATTTCTCCCAAGCTGCATTTATCATTTTGTTAATTTGGGCCTCTTTTTTCTTACTGTGGGATTTCCTTAAATGTCCGATAGTCATTGACTGCCTACTCATACATAAGGGTGGGGTTTTATTTAGTTTCCTATTGTTTTTCTAACAAATTACCACAAGCGTAGTGACTTAAAACAACACAGACTTACCTTACACATCTGTAGGTTAGCAGTCTAACATGAATCTCACTGGGCTAAAATTAAGATATCAGTAGGACTGCATTCCTTTCAGGAGCCTCTAGGACAGAGCTTATTTCCTTGACTTTTTGCCACTTCTAGAGGCCACATAAATTCCTTTACTTTGGGCTCCTTTCCTCTGTCTTCAAAGTCAGCAATGTTGTATCTCTCTAATTTTTGCTCTGTAGTCACATCTCCCTCTGACCACAGTAAGGAGAGATTCTTTGCTCTTAAGGACACATGTGATTAGATTGGGTTCACCCAGATAATCTAGGATAACCCCCCACCACAAGGTCCTTAATTTAATTACCTCTGCAAAGTCCCTTTTGCCATGGAAGTTAATATATTCATAGATTCTGGGAATTATGACGTGGACATGTTTGAGGGGACCATTATTCTGCCTACCACAGATTCTAAACAGCTGATTGTCCACTCTGTGTGTGTGTGTGTGTATTGGGGGGTTCTGTGCACTGTAAGGTTGATAACAATCTGGCTAAACCTTTTTCCTTGGGAAACCCTTGATGTCAGAATCTTTAGAACTTTATTCTTGGTCCTAGAGTACTTACTCTTTATGTATCATGTTATGTTTGAAATAGCATGTTTTATTTTTTTTGAGGAAGATTAGCCCTGAGTTAACATCTGCTGCCAATCCTCCTCTTTTTGCTGAGGAAGACAAGGCCTGAGCTAACATCCATGCCCGTCTTCTTCTACTTTATATGTGGGACACCTACCACAGCCTAGCTTGCCAACTGGTGCCACGTCCGCACCCAGGATCCGAACCAGCGAACCCCAGGCCGCCGAAGTGGAATGTGCGCACTTGACCCTGCACTACCAGGCCGGCCCCAGATAGCATGTTTTTAATGTCACGTTATAAAATTTATATTGAATTTTAGGAAATAAATATATAAAGGTACAAACAATTATTATAACTGGTCAGTTACTGTCAGAGCCAACATTTATAAATTGTCATTTTTTCCTGAAATTTTTAATTTGAAAAATTTCAAACGTGAATATAAGTTAAAGAACTACGTAGTTAATATCTACGTATGTACTCAATTCCTAGATTCAAACATTATTTGTATTTTCAGAGAAACAATTTTGCATTTGTTGATTTTCTCTTACTATTTGTCTGTTTTGTATTTCATAGATTTTTGTCTTTGTTTCCTACTATTGACATTGGATTTAATTTGCTCTTCTTTTTCTAGCTTCTTAAGGTGGAAACTTAGATCGTTGATTTTATACCTTTTTCTTTTCTGATATAAAACTTGTTGTGCCGTAAAATTTCCTCTGAGGACTGCATTAACTGCCTCCCACAAATTTAGACATATTATGTTTTCACTATTACTTGCAGTAATTTATAATTTTGCTGTGATTTCTTTTTTGACCCATGATTACTTAGAAGTGTGTTGCTTTTATATATATTTGACTTTTCTAGCTATGTTGTTATTGAGTACTAATTTAATGTCCTTGTTGCAAAAGCATACTAAAAAGATTTCAGTCCTTTGACATTTATTGAGACTTGTTTTATAGCCCAGCATTAAGTAGATTTTGGTGGATATTCCATGTGCCCGTAAAAAACATATATTCTTTCTACAGTTGTTAGATGTAGTGTTTTATGAAGGTCAGTTAAGTCAAGTTGGTTGATAGTGCTGTTCAGATTGTTTATATCCTTACTAATTTTTTGTCTTCTTGTTCGATCAGGTTAGAGGACAAGAGTATAAAATCTCCAATCAGAATTGCAGAGCTGTCTTTTCCTCCCTTTAGTGCCAATGATTTTAACTTTATATGTTTTTGAAGCTCAATTTAGTAGGGTGCATAAACTTTTAGGATTGTTATATTTTCTTGGTGAATTGACACATTTTCATTATAAAATATGTTTTTCTGGTAATACCCCATCTTGAAGCCAACTTTGATGTTAATTTAACCATTTGATTTGACATTAATATAACCATTCTTGCATTTTTATTCTTAAAGTTTTGCATGGTTTATCTTTTCTCATCCTTTACTTAAAACCTGTTTGTGTCTATATGTTTAAAGTATGTCTCTGTAAACATATTTCCATTTTCCTTTTATTTAAAAATCCAGTCTGGCAATCTCTTTAGGTGGTAGGTTT